CGGCGGGGAGCCCGCTGGGCCCGGCGCGGTCCCAGGCCCCCGTCCCCTGCGGGAGCAGCACCACGTACTTTCAGCCAAATGAAAATCCACAGAGATATGGTGACTTTTTTAGCTTTTCTTAAAATTTAGGGTGCATGGATAGAGATTTTGGGGGCCAATACCGATAGCCGATGTTTAAGGAGGTGTGTTTATTGGCCATTCCCAATCTGATACCAATACAGCTGCCTCCAGGTGGTAAGTCTGGTGTGGTGGAAGGGGCGTGGAGGGGGGGCTGAGGCAGGCGCTGCCCAGCCAGGGCAGGGTGGAGCGCAGGGCCAAGCCACGGCTCATCCAAGAGATGCAGGGCACGGCAGGGAGGGTGGCTCCCACCACTGTGCATACCCCAGGAGGGCACAGCGCCGGTACGTGACCCAAATCTGCGCAGGGGCAGGGTGGGCGGCAGCCAGGGGCTGGGGCCGGCAGCATTGGGCTCTTCCTAGCACGTGCGGGCCGTGCTTGGGGCTGCACTCCTGGCACGTGGGAGTTGCACTCAGGGCAGGTGGTAGTGGTGCTGGGAGGTGGGCAACAGGGGGGGCTATGGTGAAATTTGGGGTGGCTGCAGCCCCCATAGCCTCCCTCCCAGCACTACTGCTGCCCACCCTGAGCACAGCCCCCACGAGCCAAGAACCAAGTGCCACCAGGCCTTAGCCCACAGCTGCAGCCCACCCTGTCCCACCACGTGCAGATCTGGGGGCATACGCCACCCCCGTGCCCTCCCAGAGTGCACGCAGCAGCAGGAGCCACCGCCCCATGCCCCGCAAATGAGTCACGGCTCAGTCCTGTGTCCCGCCTTGGCTGGGTAGTACCTACCCCAGCCCAACTCCCTCCCTCACTGTGGGGGGGTGTTAATCTGCCCCCCCCCCTTCCCTTCCTCCTCTCCTTTGACCACAACAGATTTACCAGCTGCACACAACTGTCTACACTGCCAGCTCTGCTCCTTGTCAGTCACGTGCTGTGCCACAGCCACGCAAACGCACAGGCATTTATCGGCCACATTATCTGCCATGTCAGGCTGATTTCTGATGCAGTCAATTTTCTTTATATCGGTGCTGATCCGATATTGGACCAATATATTGTTGCACCTCTACTTAATATCAGAGGGAAGGAGAAGGTATTGTGTGGGCTATTGCTTTTACTTTAGGACACATGCCCAGCTTGTTACTGTGTGTCATTTAGTGGTTGTGATTAAGCTCAAGTAGTTATTAAACCCACACTAAACCTGTTTTGATTTGTATTCTGTATTTCTTTGTGTATCAAGTTGGGGTGCTTGCTAGTTTTGGGGGCTAGAAGCATGTGCTTCAAATGTGCGGTTTTTTGCATAAACTTGCATTCACAGCATCCTCAGCAATTGCTCCACATATGCTGAGCTGGATTATGAATTAGATGGTGCATGCATTACTGTGTCTGGGCCCACTGAGTCTTTCCTTTTTATGCTCTTGATCAATTCAATTCCTTTCAGATATGCACATGATGGTTGCCAAACCAGAGCAGTGGGTAAAACCAATGGCTGTGGCAGGTGCAAACCAGTACACCTTTCATCTAGAAGCTACAGATAATCCAGGAGCATTAATCAAAGACGTTCGAGAAAATGGAATGAAGGTGAGGAATGTTGTTTTTAAGCAAGTGCCTTTTCATTAGCTTTGAAGATCTGGTTGTTGGAGTTTGTGTAGGTTATGGGCAAGACCAAGTAAATATCAGTGAGGTCTCAGCCATAATATTCTTGCATGCATAAGGACTACTAATAGGAACTGAATGCAGGTTGTATTTGATTAAACCAGTTTTTGCCTTAATTGATCCCACAAAATGTTCCACATTTTCTTAAAATGGCAGGTGCTCATATGTTTTTATTAGGACCATGGCAGTGAGCACAGCTGTGTATGCAGTTATCCTACAGAAGCACTTCATCTGTCTGTCTTTCCTGCTTTCCATAGGTTGGTTTAGCGATCAAACCAGGGACTACAGTTGAATATTTAGCACCGTGGGCCAACCAGATAGATATGGCATTGGTGATGACAGTGGAACCTGGATTTGGGGGGCAGAAGTTTATGGAAGATATGATGCCAAAGGTATGCTTGATTACTTCAAATTAAATAGAATAAAAGCTTTTGGACTCTGGGTGGTAATGGGGAAATGAGGTAAGATTTTGTGAACACTAATTCTATAAATGGCTTTACATTCAGATGCTGCCTGGAAGTTTACCACGTGATTTATTAATTTGTTTAAACATCCTGCTCATTAGGTTCAGTGGCTGAGAACACAGTTTCCTTCCTTGGACATTGAAGTGGATGGTGGAGTTGGGCCTGACACCATCCATAAGTGTGCAGAGGTAAGTTGTTTTTTTTTTTTTAAAAAGGGATTCCTTTCAGTTATTCCCAAATTCTTTGTTTGAAACACACATGATCTCCCTTGAAAGAGCCCCTTTCTAGGAGTCTCTCATTGTGTCCATCTATTGTCAGGTATAGTAGCCTTGTAGGTTTAATTTTCAGCCCTGTACTCCCCAGTGTAAATATAATCTGGATTTTTTTTCCAGTCATTTCTAGTACCAGACAAACTAGAGCAGTTTCTTTGTTGCCATGTGTTCAAAACAGATCCAGTACTAAAACAAGAATGTTAAACAGGCAAGTAGAGATCTGTTTGGAGAAAATACTCTGTCTCCCTAGAGTGCTTTGTCTGCAGTTCTCTACTTTTTCTAAATCAAAGCTGGATGAACTCAATTTCTTAAATTATAGTTCTCAAAATCATTAATACTGTTCTGTGGTATTCAGTTGGTTGTTTATCTTCTTTAAGGCAGGGGCAAATATGATTGTGTCTGGTAGTGCCATCATGAAGAGCACAGATCCTCGGTCTGTGATTAATCTGCTAAGGAATGTGTGTTCGGAAGCTGCTCAGAAGCGCAGCCTGGACCGATGAGACCAGCTCAAGCCATGTTTAAGTTTCCTTACGTATAAGAGAACGTTCATCTCTGTTGTGGATGAGGGGCCAGAGAGACACTAAATTGAGGAAACATGGTGCTGCTGAACTGAGGAATCATTCCTTTACTGCAATGAAGCAAGCAGCAGAGTAAAGTGTTACAACTGCTGTGCCAGGGCTGGAAATGCAATGTATAAATATTATCACTTTAATTTCCTGGAGATTAATTTTATAGCACATGCTATAACTGATTGGACAAACAATTCAGTCAGTTTTTGCTTGAAAGAAATGCGAGGGATAATGCGTACAAGCTGTGGTGGAAGATTAAAGAAACTGCCTGGTGCTCCATGTGTTTCATTGTATAATTTGTGCATTCCTATGAAACTTTTTTTCAGTGTTTGAAATAAACACACTTTTACTGGTGTGGTAAATTCCATTATTTGTACAGAGACTTAATTCTGTAATTTGAGGCATGCCAATAGTACATGTACTAAAGCATAAAAATGACAAAGCTGCAGCTTCCTTGGCATAAGCATGCTGTGGTTTAGGCACATCTGTTAATCCACTCAGTGTAGGAAGCAGAATCAAGCTTTGGTACCTTACTTCAATCACTGCTGTGACATAGACAAGACACTTTTATAGTGGAAAACCACTTTAAAGTTTAGGCCTAACTCCTGTGAGTGATAATGTCCAAGTAAAAATGGTCAGCAGCAATAATCTTAATACTCCTTAAGTTATATAGCACTAGAAACTAAAAGATAATAGGCTAGTGGTTCTGTGGGCTAAAGATGTTGCTGTCTTAAACACTAATCCTGTAGACCGGGTCTGCATACAGGGCACCAGTCCATATGGTATTGGAAGGAGAGTCTCCACCCAGGATTAAAGTGACCTTAGACCACAGGCGTTTATTTTTTCTTTTAAAGTCGCATAGACTTTGGGTCTCAACAACCAAAGGCCACTTGAAACTTGAATGAGTACTGCCACACCGGGGTTTGATGTGCTTGAGCTTTATTTATACATGCATAAACTATAACTTCCCTGTTTGTCCTTAAGCAGCAAAGCACTTAGGATGAGCTGAATAGCCTGCCTTTTACTCTACAGTGACCAGCTTTAGTAATTTTAATAGAAGCAGCCTCTTCCTCAGGGTGGGTGTTTACACAAGCCATCAAATATTTACTACCAAGTATTCTGTCCCTCCCAAGTCCCTTGCAGTCCTCCTGTGGTCACAAGCAACCTGTTGCCAGGCTGGAATACCAGCAGCTATCTCAGCTGCTGTGCATGAAAAGAGGGCTTTAAAAAGGAATAGCTTTGGCTTAGATCTTTAAAAAAAACCAGTAATGTGCATGTGACAAAGGCTCAGGGAAGGTGTACTACAGTGTAGTAGTTTATGAGCCAGTAACCATCAAGCCCCATACATACAGAGCTTGAAACAGGTTGCCAGAGTTGAAATATCAGGCTGTACTTTAGCATAGTTCAAAGTCAACTTGTGTACATTTATACTATGCTGCAGCCACAGCCAGTGCAGGTGTCTACCGTTGGAACATACTGCCAGTACCCATGAAACAAAATAATCCCAATGTAAGAAGTGTTTGGAGAGAAGAAAAGAAGCAGGAACAAGCACAAGAACTCTTTCCTTCTCTTTCTCTACTTACACTGCCTCTGTGAATAAGTGCTAGATGTGAGAAGGCTAAAGCCATGTTTTTTACTATTACTGATACTTATAATATTTGAAATTAAGTGGTACACAAGCCCTCTAATGCTCCAGTTCAGGCACTGGGTAAAGAGAAGAGTCATATAACCTTGCCAGAGGGGAGGAAAGCACACTTTTGAGAAAGGAAGGTCAATTAGCACAAAATGCTAGGGTCAATTTATTAAGCCATAGTGACTCTCAGGTGTGTTTAGAACAGGTCCTCCACAAGCAAATATGGGTGCTCTTGAATTGGTTACATTTCTACTTATCCAGGTAGGAATTAATTAAGAGCCTCTGAGGCTTAAAAATTCAGACTAAGCTCCCACAAAGCCAAGTTTCAGGAAGTCAGAGATGCTTGCCAGTATAGAAGTAATAGTTCAGACCTGACTGCACCCTTGTTCCCAGCATCTTCCCCCACGTGGGTAGGGACACCCCCACACCATGCTAGCCTCTGGGGACTTAGTCCCTAAAGCATGTAAGAATCCAACCCCCGCCCCTCCCCCACATTTCCCTTCTGTGCTTCAAGGTGTCACAACCCAAAGGGTGTGATTTTTTGTTTTGTGTGCGCTTCGGCACTGCTAAATTGTTCCCGCTAAATTGCAGCTTCTTTGCACGGTGGAGTTTTCTGCTGCAAAAAAGAACCCCGGTGCAAGGGAGAATTTCCCGCCAATTTGAAGCTTTCCTTGCAGGGTGCATTTCTTTGTTGCAGCACAGAAATGCTCATTGCAAAGAGTTCCCGCCATTTGTATGCTAATTCAAGCCCCATTATTGGCCAGTTCTAAATTATTCACACGTGGCAGCTAGTGATTGGCTTGCTAGCCGTATAAAAGGTTTGAGTGGTTTCCACCCAAGTCGGAGGACTCCACGAACACCAGGAGGAGACTTCACGCTGTGTGAAGATCTCTAAGCACTGCGGATCCCTACGGACCCAACGCATTTCAAGCAGGCAACAGAGGTCTGATAAGCCTCTAACCTCTCCCCGTCGCCGATAGATTCCTAGACATATCCCTCCCTGAGTGCAAAAGAACCGGACCCACAAAGCCTAGCAAACTTCGTGGGGATGAGTGAGCAGAGGGACCCACGGAGCCTAGCAAACTTCGTGTGAGTTTATTCAGAGCTCTTTTGGACGAGTACGTTCTTCGGTTGACACGACGGGCTCGCGTGTTCAGAGCCCTCAGCCGGATTGGGCTAGAGTTCACGAGTTTAGAACTCTTGCCCGCCTCTCTTCTTTCCTGTCTGTAACCGCAACTCAAGCAAGTTTTCCAGCCTACACCATGACCATCTTTGGTGTAAGTAAACAATCTTTAAAACTACCGCTAAGTGTTTGTGCCTAATTCCAGCTCATCGCCCTCCCTCTACGATCCAGCGTGCCCGGGCTGCTGGCCACAGCCCGCGTGCAGCCCGGAAAAGGGCTCGGGTCGCTCCCGGCCCGCACACAAGGCATCTCCCCTTCCTCCCCTCCTGTTGCTTCTGCTTTCCCAGCTGTCCTGGAGGCAGAGAAGCTTTGAAGCTCCTTCTCCGCAAGCTGGATCAGGTGCTGGGGTTGGGCTGGGAACAGACAGTGGTAGCAGCATAGGTGGGCCAGGGGAGGGAGGGAGTTCTCCTACCCTGCCCCAACACCTGGGGAGCAGGCAGGGGGAATCCTCCCTCCCCACTACCTCTCCTGTCACTTCAAAGCCCAGCTGGAGTAGGTCTGAAGTCCCTACCCCCTCCACTCCAACCAGGGGAAAGCAGCAGGGATAAGTGAGGAGGGGATTCTTATGTACTTCAGGGATTTTATAAGTCCCCAGAGGCTCCTGGGCCACTGCACCCCCTTCTGGATCCACCCCTGTTATAACTCATTTGCACTACACTATCCTTTCTCAGTTAACTTCAGGTAGTTTGTCAGCATTTAACAATCCACGCTACCTCGCTTAAAGGCATTGCAAGTCAAGTCATGCTGAGCTTTACACCCCCAGCAGAAAAGCATGTAACAAATTGCTGAATTCTGTCTAGCCTTTATTCCTTTGTTAAGAATCTGACAGCATAAACCCTTTGAAATCCAGTTTGTAGCATTTTAGAGGGGAAAAACAAGCAGGAGAAACACTGTATTTGCTCTGTCCAGAGCGACCAAGTGTTCCTGCATCAACATGTACTTCTCTGGTTGTGGTCTCTTTCCCCTTTAATTTTGAAAACTCGCTTTACTTTTTTTTTATACCCAAGATTGGAACAACTGTTAGTTGTCATGGAAATTATCAATACTCCCACAAATACTAACTGCATTCTTTCTTTTACTCCTTAAGAGTTACCCAATGTTCTCTCTGCCTGTCCTCCTACACTGAAGTAACGTGAACACATGCACCAAAAATACTAGTTGCTGGACCTTCCTCAAAAAGTAAAAACATTTTTTTTTTTTTTTTTTAAAGGAAACAGTTTCCCAAATATTTATGAAACAAGTCAACACTTCAGTAGTACCTGCCTGCATAATGCTTAGTACTTTAGTGCCACAACAGGAGGGTTTAGAGAAAAATTACTTTCTAACATCTTTATGGCTTAAGAGCTAAGAGACAAGCTGCGTTTGCAGAGCAGCTGTCAGCACTTTCCTACAGTGCGTTGCGTTGCTTCCAGTGGTTTCAAGGCACTTGTGACACAACAACAGACTACGGAGAGGGGAAGGGAAATCTATGGAGGCCATTTCTTGAGAGAGAAAGATTGCAACTATTAAACTAGCTTGTTTTTTATTAACAATTGTACATGGTGCTATACAAGCGCACAGCAATTTTTAAAGAAAACGACAAGGGGCAGATGGTCTTGTTGAGACACCAGA